TCTCCCCACCTCTTTGTCTCACAAGAATCCAAGGTGAATAAAAGGACCAACTTTTCTTCTTCAAGTAGCTATCCACTGATCCCTCTCCTAAATCGTCACCCGCTATGACCCCATCTTGTTCCTCCATTTTGGTTGCCAACGAGTCCATCTCATCCCTTCCACATCGGTAGCAGAGGATCTCTTCCGCCACTGATATGAGACCAAAGTAACTAGAAGATTATGTTTCAAAGTTGATTTAAGGTTTAATTTATCTTCTGAATTTAAGGTTTTATATCACACACTTTTGGAATAAAATTGTAGAAAATTGTTGTTTATGTTTATATGTTCTTCATGTGGATGTTTTTTTATTAACCTGGATATCCAACCCACTATGCGAGCTGACTAATTTCAGGACGACCACCTATTTTGCAGATAACCCGGAGTCACCGCATTTAAACCTCCGTGGCCACAAGGGGATTTTTATTCCTCCTTGGATGGTTATTGTTATTTGATTTTATATTGGTATATGTTTAAATTTGTATAAGTTGGTAATTCTAATTGAGTAAACTACAATTTTAGTCCTTGAGGTTTAGTGAAATATTTGAAAGTGGTACCTAATTTTTAACAACACTAAAAATCATTCTTGTTGTTTATATTTGTTATGAAAATGGTCCCCTGACATGGAGTCAGTAATTTTGTTCTTTACGCTCGACCTGTGTTTGCACAAGTGTTATAAACATGGACGAACCCAGCATGGTGCCACGGTGGCATGTGCCATCGTATTATTACTCCGTCAAAGGGTAACAACTTTTTAGGTTCGTGAAAGGGGCAATTGTATTAATTTGTTGTGTGCCACCATATGTATTTTCAAACTACAATGAAAACAAGTTTTCTTTTGTAGAGTTGATTTGTAAGACTTTTCTTCCACCCTTGACACGAGTTTGAATCATGTTAATGCCATTTCTTAGTCAATTGATGCTATTATTTGATTTTTTTATATGTTTGTTTCTTATATTCAAATTGTGCCACCGTTTGAATTTTTTTCCCTATATTCGTTTCTTATTATCAAATGGTGGCAGCATTTGAAAAATAAAATTACGAGTCTATCCCTGGTTATAAATACAATCTAAATATTTATTTGCGTTTTGAAAAGGGCAAATATGTAAACTTATACCATCATTATTTATTATTATTTTGTTAATAAAACATTCGTATGGTTTTAAGTCAAGGGATACATGAATACATCCAGGTAACATTTGCACATGAGTTGGTCACTCTTTTTCCAGAGCTAAAATCTCTAAAGGCAGAGCAAGACTTTTATAATAAGTTGTAATTTAACACATTAAGAGTGCGTTTGATATCCAGACATAATAAAATAAAACATGATAGAATAGTTGTTTATAACATTTGGTAAGACATAATTGGATATAACAGAACAATTAAAATGACCAATTTACCCGTAATGAGTTATTTATATATTTTGATTAATTTAAATAATCTATTAAATTATAACAAAATATATCATCAGAAAGTTCGTCAAAACAATTAAAACGATACTAAAATAAAAAGTTATGTAGTTTTCAAATATGATATTTTCCTATATTATTTTATTATTATTAAAATATAATAAATTACATAAATTAATAAAAATATAAAACCGGTTAAAAATAATATTCGATAACCGTAAAATGAAAGTTTAAAAGTATAAAAATACAATAAATAAAATTTAAAGAATGAATAAAATGTAAAAATGAGACATATTTGACGTTCTAGAAGAGAACTATTTTGAGGTTATGTTTGTAAAAATATAAGTCTATTCCACCTTGTTCCTCTCTGTAGTATGGATAGGGGGTGAAACAGACCTGTTTCACTTTGTTCCACTTTGTTCATGTATGTTCCACATAAAAGTCCTATTAAACATGAAACAATGATTCACATTCTATTTTGTCCGGTTCAATATAACAAATTAAATTTTTAAAAATTGTACATTGCTTTGAAGTAGGAGATGTGAGGATTTTAGAGTTGGTTGGGGGACCAATAGTGGTTGAACACAGACCACATTGTGATTATTTCAATTTGTGGGTTCGACATAAATAGTTGGTTGAGTGACCCACCATCACCAACTTGTCTAGGTCAATACTTAATGGTATACCCCAGTGACGGATCTAGAAAATTAATAAGGTGGAGGCATGGTAGATGGGACTTGAGGGAGGGAAGCATATGATCATATGAGACTGGGGGGAAACCATGTAAGATGATGGTGAAAATAGAAAATTTAAGCTAGTCAACAAAGGTTTTTGATTTTTGACTGGAAGCCTTTCCCCCGGTGCTTAAAGGCTGGATCCGCTCTTGGTCTACCCCACCCCGTAGTCTATATATAGAATTGAAGTGTGAGAAATCAAAATTTTGTGGCAAACATGACATGTTTATAATAAATTGCTGATAAATAATAAAAGTTAAAATTGAACAAAATAAAGTTGTTAGGGGCGGACCTATGAAGGGTTCAGTGTGCCTGTTCAACTGATATTCATAAGGGAATTCTTTTGGTACATGAAAGATGCATCTGCTAAATTATGAGTGCTCTGTGATATTAGAAAATATAAGGAATATCAACTAATAAACCGAAAGTTCTCTTGAAATCAAGCAAAAACCAAAAAAGTCTATTGAAATCAACCAAAAAAAAACCAAAAGAGTCCATCGAAATCAAAGAAAAAACATAAAAATTCCTCGAAATCAACAAAAAAATCTTAAAAGATCACTCGAAATGATGAAATTTGGCTAAAAACACATTAGGCTACCTTGCAGGTCTTTGATGCACTTTAAAGGTGCATCAGCTCGACAATAATCATGGGCCTGTCACTGAATATGTTAACTTATCTGAATTCCTGCTAACAAAATGTTTCTTATGAATATTTGATTTTTCTACTGGAACCCAAACCTTTATATAGAGATATAGACAATCTTGTGAGAACAAGAGCTTGGGTGATAACGTTGAAAATATTTGGATGAGTTGATTTTTGGATTTGGACGATGAAACATATGCAGACCAACTATCTTCAACTGATAACCTACAATAAAACACGAACTTTCATCTATCTTTATCAACCTTAATTTTCACATTTGTCTTCACTTTTACTGATGTTCACTAACTTCAATCACTTTCACATGCTTGAATTTGTGAAACTATTGATCATGATGATAAAAAGAGGTAAATGACACGTAGTTGAAGGTTTAGTTCTCATCAAAAAATTAATTCTTATGGAACCCAACTCATATATATATATATATATATATATATATATATATATATATATATAGCCTAATCAAATGAGAACTAATTAGCTTGTGGTAACCGTGAGGTCCAATACCAAGTACAAATCATTAGATAAATTAGGAAAATTTTAATTTTGGTAATTTTAATTAAAATTTTAATGTAAGGACATTTTAGGTATTTTCTCTCCTTTCTTATCTCCTCTCTCCGTCTCCCTACCTCAGTCCCCCGACTACCGTCCTCCGGTGATACCACAGTGGTGTCACAATGCATCTTATATGTGCTTGAGTATCACACTGAGGTCGTTTGTGTAGTCGATCGGATATGCAACACAGTGGTATCACAATGCATCTTATATGTGTTTGAGTATCACACTTTGGTATTACCGGGGGACAGTGGCCGGGAGACGGGGACGGAGAGAGTAAAGAAAATACCTAAAATGTCATTGCATTAAAATTTTAATTAAAAATTAACAAAGTTATAAATTTCCTAATTTATATATTGATTTGTGGTTGAGATTGAATCTCACGGTTACCACAAACTAGTCAGTTCTCCCTTCAATGAGCCCCTATATATATATATATATATATATATAGAGAGAGAGAGAGAGAGAGAGAGAGAGAAGCGTTCAAATAAAAACCACTCAATTTGAAAAAACCGTGAAAATCTCATTCGACCAATCATAATTTTTCATTTTGTTCATTTTTTTTGTAATTATGAAAGGTTGATTAATCATTTTTATTGTGAAAGGTTTAATCATGGATACTATAATCTTCATTATTTTAATTTTAGAGAAATACATGAAACAATTTCATAACCATATATGAAACAAATTAATCAAAAAAGGTATTATATGAAACAATTTCATGAATTTTTTTTATTAGATTAAACAATGAAATTGACGCATGAATATATATATATATATATATATATATATATCGATCAAATGCAAACTACCCAATTTGTACAAACTGTGCAAACCACCTTTATCCGTCGATTTCATTGTTTAATCTTGTGAAATTATTTTATATAATACTTTTTTTTGATGAAGTTTCATATATAGTTATTAAATTGTTTCATATAATACTTAATGAAATTTTAATGAAACTGTTTCATGTATTTCTTTAAAATTAAAATAATGAAAATGATAATATCCATGATTAACACCCTCTACAACAAAAATGATTAATCAACCTCTCATAATTACAAAAAAAAAATGAACAAAATGAAAAATTATGATTGGTTGAACGAGGATTGTATGGTTTGTACAAATAACGTGGTTTGCAAAGTAAACCTCCTCTATATATACACACACACACACACACGAGAATAAAGTTGTAATCACCTTTTTATTCACATCCATTGGATCAATTAATCTAATGGTTGATTAATTGTTTCCGGTTTTTTTTTTTTTTTAGAGTTTTCCCCTCAACCCTTCTCTATATAGGGTCAAGTTCAGGGAGAAACCGTAAAAGGAATGAAAAACTAAGTAACACTTTGTTAACCGTTCATTTGGATGGTATGCACACGTGAAATACAAGTCATTTGTAAGTAACTTGTCCGGTATTCACATGTGCATAACATGCACACATGCACAAAGCCAAGCAACGGCTTTACTTGCTTGTATGCATATATACATACCATACAGATGCATAGTTACCAGAGTGCTCTGTTTTCCATTTTCTTTTGAGGATTTCTCCTCGACACCTCTCTATGTATGGGTGTAAATTAATTTTCCCCCATTTGATTCATCAACGACCTTTTCTTGAAAACATCCATAAAAACCACGAAAAACAAAAGCCCCAAACGCAGGACCTTCGTGCCATCCTACCAAGGCTCAACGAGTCCAAGGTCCCATCCTAAGCAGCCCACTGGTTCTAACCATCTCTTTGTGCAACTATTGAATCTATAGTAATGATGCACAAGCCCCTTCAACCCTGTTTCTAGTAAGCCATTTTTTGTATTTGGTTTTTTGTTAACCAGACTTTTCGAGGCTTTTGGAAAAACATGGCCTGATCAAGCTTTTACGCCCGACCTCGACCTGGACCCAGGCTTCGGGTTTTAAACTTTTTGTGCATCTATGAATTTTGAACTAAAAAAAACCAAAATCATTGCTAAGCAACAAGAGGTTGAACCAGCAACATCACAAAGCCAAGATTACTCCTAACGGAGTACATCATTCATTTGGCTAAAGCATAGATTTTCATGACGACTGACGGGTGAAGAAATCAGCACCATTCTCGACATCATCGGTTTTGATGCTTCCTGATTCTGCCATTAATATCCTGTAAACTCTCTTGGAACAAACCTCTCCCAATCTTCTGTTATCTCCAACCAATCCTTCCGTTATCAAATTCGCAAGCAAAAACTCTTTTTCATGTTCCTGCACAAGCAACCAAATCACTTACATTCGCCATCAATTTACATATTCAAAATGAAACTATCCCACATATGGCACGCCTTGATGATTGAGGAACTTGAGATCCAATAGAAAATCTCACGCAGAATAACGCAGACCCCAAGGGGTAGAGAAACTGTTTTTGTGAAGAAATTGTTGAGGCCAAAGGCTAAAACCAAACAGACCAAGTAAAGCCTATGCAGAGGTCCGGGGAGGTAAATTGTACGCAGATCTTACCTCTATCCTAAGAGGTAGACATTCTGTTTTCATGAAGAACCACTTGAGCCTATGGCTGTAAATGGATATTATTCGAAATCCAATCAACAAAAATATGTTGGTATCCAATCCAAAGCAAGTGGAATAAAATGTGGATATGGTTATATGGTATCTCTAAATAACTAATCTAAAATTATAAGATCTTGGCATTTGTTTGTGAACATACTTGTAGTTGTATATCATACGTTAGTGGTTACTAAAATGTATAACAAAAAATCATATATAGAAATCAAAAAGATCTACTTCTGGGAAAAAAAACTAAACGTCAGAGCAATTAACGCGTTAACATAAGAATCAATGTTTATTTCAAGTTGGACAATATTCAGCGGATACACATGTTCATGTCAGAAGTTTCAGTTATTTCCAAAAGTAAATGCCTGTATGGATGCCGGATTTTAAATTCAGATGTGTCATGTGGATATCTACTCCATTTGCATCCCTTGTTGAGGCATGTTTCACACACACACACACACACACATATTCGTACATACATACATACATATATCTCTTGCGTCTAGCCCTCGAGTTCTGGGATTTTGCAGTGTGAATCTCACTCCCTCCATCTCATTATCTTCTGTGTTGAGTTAACCAAATTTCTCTTACTGTTTATCAGTAAACTTACCCACAATCAAGGTTCTAAATGACGAGAGGCGTGGCATGGTGGCGAGGTCAAGCCTTACGAGTTAAGGCGAGGCCATGACGTTTTTGAAGGCGTGTCCTAAGCTATGCTGTTAATATCGCGATATTTCGGCGATATATCGGACCTAGGCAAAATATTGCTGCATAAATATCGTCCCGATGCTATCGGCGATATTTTCCCGATATTTTGATGTATATATCGGACCGATATATCGATTTTTTAGGGTTCAATTATTTGGGCTTTTGTTATTTCATGGGCTTGGTAACATATATTATTAGGTTTGAAATTAATAGTCTGCCTTCCAACGGTCTTCTTCCTTTCTTTTCATCTTTACGAGTTACGACTTCACACTTCACAGACACCTAGTTCACTTCACGAATCACGACTTCAGACTTCTCACAACTTCAGACTTCTCACTCCTAAGGAGGCATGTGTATACATACATATATATACATATTATATATATATATAATATGTATATATATGTATGTATATACCTGTATATATATACAGGTAATTTCATTTACAAACTCAACCATTAGTACAAACCATACAAACCAATTAGTTGAGATATTTATAGAAATGATGAGTTCAATTATTATGATCTGGATTTATTTTATTAACCTGGATATCCAACCCGCTATGCGAGCCGACTAATTCCAGGGCGACCACCTGCTTTGCAGATAGCCCGGAGTCACCATATTTGAACCTCCCTGACCACAAGGGGATTTTTATTCCTCCTTGGATTTGAACCTGGGACCTCCTGGTACTTTTGACCTTTGGAGCCAAGCTCAAACCAATCAGGCACCACCCTTGTGGTTATGATCTGGATTTTTATGGAAGATTATCGGAGTTCATTATTATGATCAACGCTTTATATTAGGAAACAATCGAGATATTCATTAAACTAGATATTCAGTAGACTAGATGAATGGTTGAGATTGGTTTGTACTAATGTGATGGTTTTAAATGATCCATATGGGTTAGGTTCCGGTTAGAAGGGAAGTTATGGTGAGAAGCGTATGAAGAGATCTTCACCCTTGGATCAATCCTAATTGAATGTCAACACTAATGAGGTGCACCAAATGCACCGATCAATTCCCTTCTAAAGCACAATTCATGGGTGGGCATGAGATTAAAAGTGATCAAGGGTTCAGATCTCTTCTTATGCTTCTCACCATAACTTCCCTTCTCACACAATCCTTTGCCTAATTTGCCCTCTATATGTGTGTGTGTGTGTGTATAGAGGAAGGAACATGAGAGAAGTTAACCAATCTGCGAAAAGACGAGAATTTCCAAGATCATATATTATTACACGTGATATGTACGCTTAGTAATATATGATTAGACATACCCAAAGGAGACGCAAGTGACTTGGTGAAGCTGTGTCATTGTGTTGTCAATGCAACATGTGAACCTATTTAGGATTCTAGGCTTTATGTTTCCTTAATTGTTTATTTAAGTCTTCTATTTCGTAGATAATTATTATTTATCCTCCAAGTTATATGTAAAAACAACAACAAAAAAACCATGCCTAACAAAATAATAATACATCATACACGTTAAAGCGGAACCTTAGAGTGGAACACAGGGGTTAACGTGGCGGCCAAGCCAAGCTTCGATGCTATAGCACACCATAAAAAGGTCATAACGAGTTATTTAGAACCATGCCCACAGTTTCAAGTGTAATGTCTCTATTTTGCTGATCATTGTATTTTCAGGATATTTCGACAAAGCTAATCGTTGGTTAAGGAAGGGAATCTAATAACCTTTACATACTTGAACCTGAAGCAGATCCTTGGTATGCTTCAGGTCATCATTGTCTTTGTTTGAACTACATTGTCGGTTAAGTCATCAATCTCTCCAATATCAAAAGGAACTTTGTTTTGATTTTTCTCATTTATCGTGTGACCATTGTCAACTTGCCTAAAATGACTTTTAGCACCTTCTTCGTCCAAGATACTAGGCCTCACGTCTCTAAATTTGTTTTACAATCTCTCAAGTGTCTTCCGTTGATATACTCATCTTCAAAAGGGGTAAAGGTGTGTCTCTCTTAAACTTGACCGTTATGTTGTCTCTAGAGATGTCACCTTCCAGAAAAATATTTGTTTCTTTCCTATTCCCACTAGTAGTAACCAAGGGAGGATGATGATTTGTTAATCTATATGATACCTTGTCTTGACTCTTCAGCTGGTTTTCCGCTTGCATCTACTCCTAAGTAGTCTTTGGAGCATGAACAACCACCTGTTGTTAAGGTTTATGATAGGCAGCATCATTCTACAACATTTCCAATGCTTTACTTCCCTCTTCTTTAGCAGGACCACCTATTGCTCCTACTCCTACACAACCTTCTGACAGCCCTATTGTCCTTCGAAAAGGGAATGTACTTGTATGTACCCTATTGCTTCCTTTGTTTCTTTTTATCAAATGTTTTCCTCTTCCTGCTGGTGAAGCACTTGCCCATTTTGGATGGCATGTTGCTATACATGAGGAGATGAATGCCCTTAATCGTAATGACACTTGCACAGTGATAGATGTACCTACTAATAAAAAGGCAATTGGGGTATAAATGGATGTTCACAGTTAGGTTTCAGTGGGTTGGCTCTATGGCTCGCCTTAATCCTCGTCTTCTTGCCAAAGGATAAGCTTAGCAATATGGTGCTAACTACTCCAAAACTTTTTCTCTAGTGGCTAAACTCACACAGTTTGACTCATAGTCTCCTTGGCAGCCACATTAGATTTCCCTTGCACCAGTGCCATATCAAAAAAGTTTTTCTCCATTGTTCTCTTTGGGAGGAGGTATATATCAAGCAACCACCTGGCTTTGTTACTCAAAGGGAGTTTAGGAAAGTTGGTCGTTTTCAGAATTCCTTGTGTGTATTGAAGCAAAGTCTTCAAGCATGGTTTGGCAAATTCAGCTATGCTGTTATATCGGTCAGAATACAAAATATCGGTCAGGACCGATATTCGATATATCGGTTATATCGGTGATATATCGGTCCAAAATAGCGGTTAACATAATATTTCTTAGAATTATATATATAATATGCATTAATTAGAGTTTAAAAATATAGTTTCAAAATTAAAACATCACATCATCTAAAGTGTTCAAAAACGAGCTAATCGCAAGCAATAGGTTCGGCATCCGAGAAAAGAAGCCAAACCGTGACTCCGTGAGAAGTCTGAAGTTGTGAGAAGTCTGAAGTCGTGATTCGTGAAGTGAACTAGGTGTCTGTGAAGTGAGAAGTTGTAACTCGTAAAGATGAAAAGAAAGGAAGAAGACCGTTGGAAGGCAGACTATTAATTTCAAACCTAATAATATATGTTACCAAGCCCAAAAAACTAAGCCCATGAAATAACAAAAGCCCAAATAATTGAACCCTAAAAAATCGATATATCGGTCCGACATATACATCAAAATATCGGGAAAAATCGGAAAATATCGCCGATAATATCGGGGACGATATTTTGACCGATATTTATGCAGCAATATTTCCGATATATCGACGAAATATCACGATATTAACAACATAGAAATTCAGTCAAGTTAATTTAGAATATGGAACGCAGAATAGTAAGTCTAATCAAACAACTATCTACAAGAAGTCTAAAAATGGTGTGATTCTGTTAAATATTAAGCTAACAATGGATTTGGTGACCGTTTTTTATAGTTGGTAGTTAGTCGTTATTACGGTTTGACTGTTATGGTCATTATTGGCAGTTTGTTTATGAAGAGGTATGTGACAGTTATTTAACTGTCACATGTGTTAGAAAGGGTCGTGTCTGTTTGTCAAGGGTTGTGTCCCTTGATCATGTTCTTATATTGGTCCTTTGTGTCTTGTATAGGTTGATCAACTTTGATGAAATATACAATATAGTTTGTGTGTGATTGTTTTGGTTCCAACATTGTGATATCAGAGCCTGGTTTCACAATGGCCTCAACTTCAAACAATACCATACATCATCCTCTTCCCAAACTGAATGGGAAGAATTACCATCACTGGAGCATCCAAATAGGGTGTTGTTCGAATCTCAGGATTTATGGGATATCATCAACCAAGGTATTGATGATCTTATAGAAATGAACAACTTTACAGAAGAAGACGAAGGAGAAATCAGAGAGTTGAAGAAGAAGGAGAAATCAGAGAGTTAAAGAAGAAAGACAAGAAAGCACTCTATGTGATTTATCAAGCCGTAGATGAAGCAGTCTCCGAGAGAATTTCTACTTCAGAAACATCAAAAGAAGCGTGGGACATGTTGCATAGAACCTACAAAGGGGAAGAAAAGGTTAAAACAGTAAGACTTCAAACTCTCAGATGCGAGTTTGATGGTTTAAAAATGAAAGAATCTGAAACTTTCGAAGATTTCTACAACAGAACCATATTGGTATTGAATCAGCTACATCTTAATGGGGAGATTATAGAAGACAGAAGAGTCATGGAAAAGATTCTGAGAAGCCTAACGAGGAAGTTTGAGTATGTAGTAGTGGCTATAGAAGAATCAAAGGACATTTCGGTTATGTCCCTTGAAAGACTTCTTGGAATCTTGCAATCCCACGAATTGAGAATGAAACAATTTGACAACAACCCATATGAACAAGCCTTTCAATTGCAGTCCCCAAATCCTCAAGAAAGAAACAGAATCCAATCAAGGGAACCACAGACAGATTTCAAAGGCAGAGGCAGAGGCAAACCACCTCCTATGCAATGTTATCATTGCCAAAAACTTGGACACATAGCCAAATTTTGCAGAAAAAGGATTGCAGAAGAAAGAGAGATCAATTTCATCAATATTGAAGACAATGAAGACACAATGTTTATGAACTTAAAGACATTCAAGAGGAACCTACAACAATATTCTGTGACAACAGATCGGCCATCGCACTCACCAAGAATCCTATGTTCCATGGTAAGAGTAAGCACATCAGAATAAAATTCCATTTCATACGAGAGTTGGTATCAAACGGAGAAGTAAAGATTGAGTTCTGTGTTTCCAAAGATCAGCTTGCGGATTGTTTCACTAAAGCTCTACAAGTTGGACTCTTCATGCATATGAAAAAGAACTTGGGTGTCAAACCATTCTAGCTTAAGGGGGTGTGTTAAATATTAAGCTAGCAATGGATTTGGTGACCGTTTTTTATAGTTGGTAGTTGGTCGTTATTACGGTTGACCGTTATGGTCGTTATTACGGTTGACCGTTATGGTCGTTATTGGCAGTTTGTTTCTGAAGGGGGATGTGACAGTTATTTAACTGTCACATCTGTTAGATAGGGTCGTGTCTGTTTGTCAAGGGTTGTGTCCCTTGATCATGTTTTTATATTGGTCCTTTGTGTCTTGTATAGGTTGATCGACTTTGATGAAATATACAATATAGTTTGTGTGTGCTTGTTTTGGTTCCAACAGATTCTACTTGTGGTATATGTTGATGATATTGTGATTACTAGAAGCAAGAATTCAGGCATATAAAAACTTAAGACTTTATTCAGGCTCGTCTTTAGACTAAAGACTTGAAACCACTAAAATATTTCCTAAGAGTTCAGATGATAAATAAAAAGCAGATCATATCTAAGAGGAAATATCTTCTTGATCTCTTAAAGGAAAAAGAAAATTAGGGTTATACCATATAGTACCATAAACTCCCAATGTACATCCAAGAAAGAATGATGGAGAACCATTTCATGACCATGAAATGTATAGGCAACTTGTTGGAAAGCTAAATTACATTATGGTGACCCAACCCGACATTGCAATTAGTGTCTAGAAAAGCTTCTTTTCTATCTAAAAGGAGTGCCAAAACAAGGATTGTTTTATGGGCGTTATAGTCATGCTAAAATGCGATGTTTCACTCATCCAATTGAAGCTTACTCAGATGTAGATTATGGGAGATCCACTTTTAGAATGTTGTATGTCTGTTAGGGAATTTTTTGGTTTCATGGAAAAGTAAGAATCCATATGTGGTGTCTCGCTCCACTACTGAATCAAGAGTATAGATCAATGGTTGACTCGGTATGTAAGATAGTATAGATCCATCAGTTACTAAAAGAGATTGGCTACGCGCTTGCACTTCCAGCAAAGCTTTTGGTGTGACAATCAGGCAACTTTTCGTATCTCTTCAAACCCTGTTTTCACAATAGACTAAACATATTGAGATGGATTGTCACTTTGTGACAGCCTGGCAGGATTGAAGAATGATTCATTTCAACTAGATATGTTCGAACAGAAAATCTGTTAGGAGACATACTTATAAAAACAATAAATGGGACCTGTTTTATCTACATTTGTAACAAGTTGAGGATGATCAAAATCTACGGTCCAACTTGAGGAAGATTGTTATGGAACCAAAATCACATAAATATAGGAATTGTATCATACATCAATTAGAGAGATGTTAGGGATTGATTTGGAGAATATTTCTCCCATCTCTTGTATATAAACATGCGCATTCCTATGAAGAGACACAAAGAAATCAATAAACTTTATTTTATCAATACAGAACCCTAACTCTACACACGTAAAACGTACCATCAATTAGATCCCCAATTATTGAATTCTTAGCATCAGCTTTAACAAGGAAAATGAAAAGCATACGTTAATACTTACCGATTTACTTGGATCCATGTAGACACACAAGAGTGACTTCATTGTCTTATACTTCTTCCATATTGCTATAGCAAATCGTGGTTGTACCTTTGGGATGGCTATTAAAGCTTTTAACCTGGAAAGGAAATAGAAATTTTGACAAACATGATAAAGTTGGCTTTGCTAAGGTGATTGGAATTGGTCCTGATGTCCTAAGAGGTCCTGAGTCTGAATCATGCACTTATGATTCTGAGTGGGGCAGCATAAGTCACACCGTTAGTTGTGCAAAAACAACATAATTTTCTAATAGCTATGTTTTTTCAGGGAGAAAAAGTACAACCTTAGCAAATAATAACAATCCCAATATTACTTTCAACTTGAAGTGCATAGTGCTTACCAAGTGCTCTTTTTTATTAGAGCCCTGTCAGCATCTTTGGGAATAAGGGAACCATTAGCATTGATAGATAGTCGGGTAAGCTTCTTTCTGCAAAGACAATCAGAAGGCACATGATCATAAAATTAGGTATTCCTAATTGTATGAAATAAAAGAAACAATTCCTAGTATTTCTAGAAAAAAACACTTGATGTAACAAAAATGATCCCAGTTAAGTGGCTATAGCTGCTAAAGCAACATAGATGACGCACAAAACAGATAACAACTCCAACTGTGGCACTAGGCAGTGTCCTGCAAAGGAGCTATGACTTCCAGCAAACTGTTTAAACTACCATCAATGGAAATCAATTTCAAAAATTGCACATCAAGATTTTTTGATTTCCTATAATCTACGTTTAAAAAGATGGCTGACATGCCAGTTGAATTGACCCTCCACCAAGTATGAAAAAGATCGAGGCCAATCCCAAAAATCCAATTTTAAACCCTGCTTACAACTGAAGACCCATAGGTTTGACCATTCAACTTGAAGACCTGGAGAGCAGTTTAATGGTTCACCACTTAACCAATAGAACATAAAAAGAATGTTAGCCATAATGATCTATTTTGAAATAATTTTTATTTCTTTGTTGTTTAATTGAACACTTGCCTTTTGTAAATGAATTGTTTGCCTTTGAATCCTTGTGTTCCATCATCATTATTCAAATGATTTCATTAAGATTCTTATATTAAATACATCAGCTTTTCTGAAAATTTTCCAAATTGTTATATTGAGTATTCAACTAAATATTCATGTCTGTTGTTATACCAAATAAAACAGTTTCCGTAAATGGTAAGAGGTCAATAATGGTCCACCCACAACTGGCCCATCTAACAATTAAATCTTCCTGGATTTCATTAATCTTTTTTGGAAGGGTGTCCCAGGATATGCCTGGACCAATCCCCGCAAATTGCGACTGAAAGAAATCAGTCCTAATAAACTCAGTGGCCACAGTTGTTGTGTACGCCTGGAATCGAACCCTTGGCAGATGGGATATTCCACCACATCACCCATGACCTCAACCACTACGCCACAACCCTTATGGGTCGGATTATTTAATCTTCCAGGTCAATGATCGATTTGGGTTTTAGAGCACTGTCTACAATTCTCAATCCAAGTTTTGTGCAATCATTAAGATGAGGATCAGCGAAACTGTGAAAAAGAGTACCTAAATTGGCAAGAGGCGAGGCTGCATGTTAGACCTACGACATGTTCTGCTAATTCAGCTTCGTCCATGCATAATCTTGAATGTACTCCAACAAAATGTGTAGTTAATTTTGCCAGCAGCTGTGAGAAGTATAATAGAAAAGGTCTCTTTTAATATCTGGCTTCTGAAAAACTGAAGCTCAGTCAAAAAAGCGTTGAGCAAAAACCTTTTCCACTGGTGGACGCCTCCACCCACTATGATTTCCAGGGTTCTTGTAATGTTCTTGCTCCCTATCCACAAATGATATCACGTAGCCATCAAATATTATATTACAGGAATGTAGTCAAATACATGTAAAACCATAATAGAGAATAGCCATGCATATAATGTAACACATGGAACTACACAAGAAGAAACAGATGGACTGACCTCTTGTTGATGTAGGCCATAAGCCTATATGTGAGATAGCAAACTGTATGAGATGGATAGACGGATTGAACACGAGAGACATGATCCAAAAAAGACTCCTCTGTGACAAGGCGGCAGAACTCCTCTGCCTCAAAAATAAGCAATACATATGAGATTTCCATTCCACGAGACAAGGCCTGCAACAGATGAGAAAACTTGTCATCTTTCGTATTCTGTGTAGGTTCAATCGAGCAAGATAGACTATCAGTTTTCATTCGAATAGAGTACAGTTTCAGTTCAGCAATACAGCCAATAACAGACATGACTCGTGTACATTTGTTTTAGTTTATATAAGTGATTATGAGTGGTTCATAATTTGAAACAGATTTAAAGCCAACCAGAATCAAGAACCACCTTCTTTGTGCATGGTTGTTATCGTGTTTAGTCTCATGTAAATACTCATAAAAGCTAAGAGAGAGTCCTATATAGATTTCTAAAGAACGTGAAAAAATGATAATTTTATGGTTTTTTGCAATTATATTTCCTCTCTTTTACAGTGAAATATCACGAATGCTAAAACTAAGTATTATGAAATTTAAAGAAAATTTTTACCTGTGCGACATTTTCTGGAACAGACATCGTCCAAATTATCGACCTTTCAACAGGATTTGAAGTGATTTGAAACGTTATACCTTTTTCGGCCAAGTTTGTAAGCAGTTGTCCTGAACTAAGGCACATGCTCACATGTTAAATTTGCAAATAACCAAATAATATATAGAAATAACCACGACAACGAAGTTCAATCTTATTACCTCCAACTGACCCCTGTTCTACTACTTTAGTGTCAATTTGTGCCATAATAGATTGTTGAGCAAGCTTTCCTTTCTCCCAACTTTGAATTTCTTTCTGCAGCTTCTTCATCTCTGCAGCTTGTTGCTTTAGAGCTACTTTCTGTAACTTCTCTTGCTTGAATACATATAACAATAACTTCAATACATCCACAACACATAAAATGCAAATTCATTTCTTTTGTTGGGTGAAAAGCGTACCTCCTTTTGTTGCTTCTTTTCATCCATCAAACGAGCCTTCTCTTCCTTTGTATTTCTTGTCCTTCTTATCAGCTCACCAGCACTCCTTTTCTTATTTGCATTATCCTTAGTTTTACCTTTCTGTCCAACGGTTTTACTTGTCGGATGCAGAATATCATCCTCTTCTCCAGAATGATTGGAAACCTGACTAGCACATCAGCCTTCCAAATAATTAATAAACTAAAACATATGCATGTGTGGGTGTGGATGCATATATATATATATATATATATAGAGAGAGAGAGAGAGAGAGAGAGAGGGAAAGATAATTGGACAGAGGTTAATATTTCCGACATTATGAATCTTACAGAACTAAAACTATAGTCATAAACACATACGAAATGAACAAGGTAACAAAGTTGAAAGATAAAAGTACCTGGGGTAGATCATCTTCTACTATAGATGGGAAACAAGAGCTGTCTGCACATACACATGTCGTGTTAGCATTCACTGATGACTCAAAGAAGTTCCAGAAGCTGAATGGTAATACTAATTATCCATGACACAAACTAACAAGCAAATTACACCTGACAGTCACTTTGCTTCTTTTTTAAAAACCAAACACTTCCTTTTTCTTTTTTCGACCAACCACTTTGTTTCTATACTTCTGTTTCATGCTTCATGACAGTTAAGTTCATAGTGCACCAGCGTATGAGGCATTTCACCTCTATCATTAAGGTTTCTCTTTGTCTGTCCTTTATTGTACATTAGTATCCCTGCCTTATTTAACAAAATAGGCATGTTTTTGCATAGAACAGTTCCCATATGGTATCATAGCCTGGTCTCACCCCACCAATCATCACCCAAGTTGACCATCAACCTATCACCGTTACCTACAAATTCATCAGCAAATCTTCATTGACAGCATTTGTCTGCTATGGCAGTATCAATCAGAGTGCTGAATTTGAGAGCACTCTGTCATTCTTGAGCTAGACGTTTCCATTCATTCTGTATATCAAGATCTGCCTGATACGGGGCAATACCAAACTCTCGCGATTGAAGGGTCATTAAGGTTTTCAAAAAGTTGTTGAGGGTTAACCGCCACCTAAGGGTCACTTAGGATAAGGTTGACACGCCACACAAAAGGCCCTCACCTCTTGTGATAAGTGGAAACGAAATTGAGCACACTCAAATTCAGAAATTTTTATTAAATCATAAGCCTCTTACAAAAGAGCTTTAAAAGGGCTTTTATAGGCAAAGCCAAACCCCACTAAAAATCCTAGAAACTCAAGAAACTAGATGAAATCAACTTGCTTAGGAAACCTTGAAAAATAACTAACCTTCTAGGATAAGGAGATAAGAACAAAAGATAATAACCAACTACATAACCGAACTTAATAAAGAAACTTTTAAGAAAAATCTAATCTTCTAGAAAAGACAAATAAATTCAGGACTTCTTGATCACTTAATTTTAACGGTCTTTATTGAATATAACGGTCTTGACTTGTGTTGCAAGTGTTGTCCTGGTGTTGCCACACACAGTTGCACACAAGTCCGACTCTGTCTCTACTGCACCTGCATCACTGCCTCTCTGACAAATCAAACGACCAATCAGATGCTTCATCTGTTTGTTCATCACAAGGTCAATCGTTGCCTACCCAGATACTTGCAAAGGTTCTGACATGCACTCTGTGTTCAACTTGACCCACACTTTGTTCCCATGTAAGCATTCTGTTTCTCATACAAGTGTTGCCCGTCCCGCTAATCTTTTAACTTGTTTGTTTTTGGATGTGAGATCACATTGCTGAGTGTGAAGTATGATGTTGCCTAACATTCATTTGCCACTACGCTTGCGGTCTGAGAGTGCGAGCACCAGGGGTCTCTGCTGCCCTGTCAACAAGCAGGGGCCAAGAGCCTAGGCCCAGAAGGAAAATTTCGCCTGTTCCCTCTTTTAAATACATCCCATTGTAGTATACCGAATTAATAAGATTGAATCACTAGTGCAGCCCTCTGTGTCTTGTTTTACATTTCCGATTGCCTTGATATTGCTCCCTTGTGTGAATCCCGTATCCATACAGGTTTTCCTGAATCCCCTTCCCTTTATAGAAAGCCTCCTATCACAACTGCAAAATTGTTCGACTATCCAAATTGAAGATCCTGACTTCAATCTTTCTAATGTCTTATGTATGCCTAGCTTCCTAAACAACATTTTATTCATCAAGAAGATGACTAGATATTGAAATTGTTTGTTACATTCTTTACCAGACAGACTCCACTTTTCAAAAACTCAAAGCTTCTCGGATGATTCGAACACACTGCTTTCGTAAATTGTAATGATCTATATTGGTATTGGCTGCATTTTTCTTTTATACAGCTAATTTAAGTGTTAATATTATGCAACATATAGACAGCCAAAACTTGAGTGTATTTACAGTTCACATTGTAAGTTGTGTCAAATTGATAAATACACTCATTCTCTTTAGTTTTTACCCACCTAAGAGTGAGTCCAGATCTAGTGTTATGTTACTTCTGTTGATTCTTTCGAGTTACAAGATCTCCTGTTTGTATCTTTGTTATATTGTGCTTGCTGAAAACCAGTTTGGCACGTTTGTCGAAAGTCAAAAGCCTTCGTACTGATGATGGAAATGAGTCTCTCTCTTGTGCATAGTTGTCAAGGCACCATGGAGAGTCAAGGCATAGCCAACAGCAGAACACGCCGTCGCCATGTCCACCATATGCTGACAGGTGATTCAATGTGTTATATATATATATATATATATATATATATAAATATATATATATATATATGTGAATATAGAACTAAGAATTATCCACCATTTACAATTTACTACATAGGCTTGAACATTAATGCCTATTAACTATAATATTATTGCCTACACTTCAAAATTTAAATGAATAACATCATCACTGCCTAGAGAAATAGAATTTTAAACCCATTAAAACAAGTCAACATTTAATGACACCACAAGTTTTGTGTCTGTTTTCGTTCTTTAATTCAAAAGATTTTCTGTTTATTTGTTCATGATTTCAGTACATACAAGACCTTATTTTAGTTCAGCAACAATCTTATCTTGCTACTTAAATTTTTATTTGAATACAATAATGGTTATAGCCTTATAGGCGCAGCACTCAGTAATAAGTGTTCATCACCGTGATTACTATGCTCTTTGGACATTATAGTTTATGACCATGGATGGAACATTAATGCAACATCAAGTGACTACACCCGTTACAGAACTCACATTGCTAAAAGCGAAAAATAGCCATCTGGTAGGATTGCTTGGCATAATTTGATTTGTTACATGTTCCTAGTCAGTTTGATGGATGCGAAAGAGCATACATGAATCCCTGTCCTGGGAGAATTCTATTCCTCAATATCTATACAAGATTACAAGGAAACTGAATCTACAAAATAAGGAATGATTACATAAGGAAACCTAAATATATAGGAAACATAAATATATTATTAACATAATATAATTACTATCACACCCCTGCAGTCGAAACTGGGGAGGGATAAACAGTGAGACTGGATCTAAATTCGTTAAACAAAGAAGTTGGGAGGCCTTTGGTGAAGATGTCGGCATACTGAGACGACGAAGGAACATGAAGAACACGAACTTGACCAATGGCGACCTTTTCTCGTACAAAATGGATGCTCATCTCAACGTGTTTAGTGTGTTGGTGCTGCACTGGATCGCAGGACAAATACACTGCGCTAATGTTGTCACAGTAGACCAAAGTGACTTGGTGAATGGGACGATGAAGCTCAAGTAGCAAGTTTGATCCAAGAAGTCTCTGCAACGGCGTTGGCGACACCATGATACTTAGCTTCACCACTAGAGCGAGAAAGTGTGGATTGTCGTTTAGAAGACCAAGAAACGAGATTATCACCCAAGAAGACACAATAACCTAAGGTGGAACGACGGGTGTCAGGGCATCAGCCCCAATTAGCGTCGGAGTAGGCAATCAAACCTGAGACAGAGGATTTTATGAGGTGCAACCCATACTCAAGAGTACCTTTCAAATACCGAAGTACGCGTTTCATAGCTGCAAGATGTGGCTCTTTAGGGGCATGCATGAACAAGCAAATCTGTTGAACAGCATAGCTGATGTCGGGTCGGGTGAAACTCAGATATTGAAGAGCACCCGCGAGACTGCGATAAAGTGTAGGATCCGACATTGGATCACCGAAATCAGCACCAAGTTTGGACCTAGTGTCAACAGAAGTGGTGACAGACTTACATGTAGTCATCTGGGCTCGATGAAGAATATCTTCAGCATACTGTCGCTGAGAAAGAAACATAGTACCTTCTTGTCGACAAACTGAAATGCCCAAGAAATAACTCAAGGGGCCCAAATCTGTCATGGCAAATTCAGAGCTCTAGGTGGATATAGCGCGCTAAAGAAAAGCAGTAGAAGAGGCTGTAAGAACAATATCATCAACGTAGAGAAGAAGATATGCAATATCACCCCCATGCTTGTAGATAAACAAGGAATTATCAGATGAATGTGCAAGACTGTGAGAGAGCAAGGCTGAGTACTATACATATAGTGGTTGGTTTGACCACAGGACTGAAAGTCTCATCAAAGTCCACCCCAACCTCCTGTGACGGGGGACCAAAACCCAAGTACATTTTGTAATAGATTATGAGTGAAATAACAGTGAGACAATCAAGGGTTGAAAATACTTCTTTATTGATGAAGCTATCTGGATAAAAACATCACAGTATGCTTTTAGGGAAATAAAGGACAATTGCAATGGAAAGCTAGAATTGTAGAGGAAGAAGATAACAGAAAATTCCAAAAAGAGAGAGAGAGAGAGTCTTTTCCCAAGAATGACTGCTTTATTCCTTGCACCCCACTGCACTATGTAGTACCTCCATCCACATATTTTTTGTTGGGCCTCCTGATTCGATTACCTCTCCTGATGGGCTGTATGGAAGGATCTGTTGCCACGTGTCCCTCCCCTTCATCATTGCTGGTTGTAGCTTGTTCCCCACGTGATATTGTCGGTATTGTAATATTGGGCATCACATTACTCCCCCCAATGAGAGTAACCTTGTCCTCAAGGTTCAAGGATGGAAAGTTTTCAAACAACGGGCTACTATCTTCCCAGTTGCGTCTTCAGTTGGTAGACCTTCCCATTGTACCAACACCTGATGAACCTCTTGACCTTTTAGTAGCAAGTATCGTGACTGCAGAATGGCCTTGGGGATGAGAATTGGACCAAGAGCTGTCGTAGTCAAAGGCATAGGTAAGTACGGCTCTTGTTGGGATCCATGACACAACTTCAGCAGTGAGACGTGAAATACCGGGTGAATTCTTGCAGAAGACGGACGTTGCAACTTATATGCAACGGTTCCAATTCGATCAACAATTGGAAAAGGCCCAAAATATCGTTTCCCTAATTTCTGGTTGTGCCGTAATGCCACCGAAAGCTGTCTGTAGGGCTGCAA